CAGAGAAGCAAAGGCAGTAGGCCTTCTGTTAACTCGTAGAACAAGTTCTGCTGAACACAGATACCAGGTCCAAGTAGTTAGACAGTTCTATCTAAGTGCAAGTATTTAAAGCAGTAAGTAAACGACACCAGGGATTTTTATAGTGGTTCAAGGAACAACTCGTTCCTCTAATCCACTGTTCCACTAAGCTGTAAAAACTGCCGTTTACAAAGCCTTAGTCCTAGTACTTAAGAAGCACTCCACGTCTTCTTCAAGCCTAGATGTGTCCTGGGATGCACTGCCTGGCTTCCTTTAACACTGGTCCTTTCACTGAGTTTCCTTGAAGTATCACCACTTCACTACTCCAGTTATTTGGACGTCCTTCTTGTAGCAAGAAGAGTTTCTGTTGAAACAGGGGTTCCTCCAACTAGCTTCGTTACAAAAGATTTGTATGTGATGAGCTTGAAGAGTTGAAGAACACTTGGAACTTTGCTTGAGTTGGAAAGAGTATTTTTCCAACTTCTGCCTTCTCTTGTAGAAGATAATGAGTTTGAATCTCAAGGAGGCTTTTTGCTTTTCAGAGTTTGAATATCTTGCTTGTGGTTAGCAAAAGTTGCAATGTAATCTTGGCAAAGTTATAGCAAAGTTATCCGGTTGTTCTTCGTAGTGTATCTTTTATACTGAGGTTGTCTTCCCGTTGGAGGAGTAGGAGGACAACTGCAATAAATGAGCGATCAGTTGACTTGACTAGTAGAGCCCGGTAAGGTTGGCGGGTTACTATTTTGGGATAAAGTATTCCTGACATTGCGGCCAATCATCTGCAATTACTCTACGTAGCATGGGGTGCATTAAATGAGCATTTAATGCATGCACTGTAGCTTTTCCGTTTCATACTCCTAGCCGTTGAAGGAATCTTTTAGTTGACTTCCCGGTTCTTTGAAATTCTTCTAAGTGTCAGACCTTCTGGCGTCTTTGTCTGAGAGTAGAACAGAGGAGGTCTGGAGCACTTCTGTTGGGAGTATCCAACAGAGACCCAGAAGGGTTTCTGTCAGAGTCAAGACTAACAGAGATCCTGAGGACTTCTGTTCTGGAGCAGAGAACCAAAGGTCCTCTGTTTTAATAATGCCTTAAGAGGCACTTCTGCTCTTGAAGTCCTTCTGCTCTTGAAGGTCTTCTGTCAAGTCGATTATTCTAAGAACTTTACAAAGGAAAATTCTAATACATAATTTCTAGAGGGGTACTCTAAAGTCCTAATTAATCTAGCATCATCAAAATCTAATTACAATTATTCCTTACACATATGAAGTCATGTGACAAAGCCAAAGGATCGGGAGGTGCGGGAAGTTCCGATTGATTACAATTTTCAAAATGTTTGTCTCTTAAAGTTTGTTTTAATTTTCAAATGTAGTTCCTATTTCATTTCAAATAAATGCACTTGAAGTTTGTTTTTAATACTCGTATAAAACTATAAACTATAAAATATAAATTATATATATAAAAAAAATTAACTGGCCCGGGCCGAACCGGACCCGACCCGTGACCCGGGCGGGTGGCCCGGCCCGAACCGAACCCGTCCAACCCTCGGGCCGGTCCCGGGCCCATGTCATACAAACCGGCGGCCCGACCGGGCCCGACCCGGCCCGAGTCCATCAATAAGTTTAAGTCAATGTATAGTTAAAAAATATGTAAAAGCAAATACAGTTCTATTGAGATTTCATATTGTAAAAACACCATTTAATCCTTTTTGACTCCATAAAAAATAATGATTTCGAGCTTGCTATTTTGATTGGACCGATTCGTCTGGTTTGACCTTGTCAACTGACTAGCTAAACATTTTAAAAGATTTTAATGGAGTTTAGAATTCCATTCAAATCCAGGTGTCCTTAACTAAGATTTCTATAGAGTATTAAAATTCGGGTATCCTCAAACATTCCATTGATTTCTTTCATTTGGATTTCAGCTGATTTTAATAGAATTGGGTATGAAAAATAACACTAATCCATTCCACCGATTCGCTTGCCCTCACCCCTTAGATTTGAAGTCATTCATTCTCGTTCATACGCCCTTCTCTAATATAACGGCAGACAACATTAGCAGCTCACATTCCCAGCAACCTTCTTCAAAATTCCGCTCGAACTTTAAGCAGGTGTTTGAACCTTCTTAAAGAGGATTCATAACCGTCGAGTTCAATCCATTCAAGCATGTGAAATTTCAGAAAAGTTTGTGCTAGATATCATCCAGATGTGCGAGTGAATTGATGACGATTGCAGAGTGTTCTTCCAACTTATCCAATCTGGAATTCCATATTTGAAACAGCCAAATTTTATTTTGAACAATCCCTGGGAAAAGGAGAACTGCCGACGAATTTGGTGATGCCGATTCTGCCGGAAATTGATTTGGGGTGTGAAGTTGCCCTTGTCCAGAAGAAGACCTGGCCGGGCTTTGAAATTGATTTCTGGCCGGAGAAGAAAGGTCGCCGTTCGTGGTACATGACCGGAAAAGATGGTGGGCTAGATTTCATTGTTGGAGCGTTCGCAGGTGTGGGTTGGGAATTAGGGTAGGGGTTTGCGCCGGCATGTATTTCAAATTTAGATTGTTTTTACTTGGACTGTAATTCGTCCCAGATCAGACCAGACCAAAACAAACCAGACCAGACCAGACCAAAACAGAACTGACCAGACCATATTTTATTAATATTTTATTATCATCATCATCATCATCATCATCTTCATCATCATCATCATCATCATCATCACCATCATCATAATAATAATAATAATAATAATTATTATTATTATTATTATTGATGGATAGTGTACCCGGGGGGTATATATCTGAGGGGTTGTTGCTGAGAATAACTTAGAGAGAAGTCAGAGCACAAGTAAGTAAGAGGGAGAGTGTATTCAGTCTGAATGTCGTGGTTTACAACGGGGAAAGGAGTGCTATTTATAGTAGCAATAAATGCCGGATAGGGACACGTGTCAAGTGTTCATTGGCCGAGAGGTCACCTCAACTAGTTGGCGCTGGCAGCCGCATGTGGCCGCATTTAATGCGGCTGTTGGATGGGACGTTGTACAGGGTACGGTGATTTGTATGCGCGTGGAGAGGAGATCTTGTCGAGTGAGGTGCCTTCGGCTATAGAGCAGTAGCCGAGGGCTCCTCAAACCGAGGGCACCCTGGTGCCGAGGGCTACTGTTCTCGCCGTTTTCTCCCAGTTTCTTAGTTTGCTTGAGAAATCCGTTCTGTGAGAGTTTAGAGCCTTCGGCCAGGGGGTCGAAGGCACCCCTGGTGTGCATTGTGGACTGCTTGGTACTCCGGGCGCCGTGATTTGGGCCTGCTGGGCCTTCTGGGCCTGTTGGGCCTGTACTGGAGTAGTAGGAGTCCGTGGGTCGGGGGTTCCCGGGCCATATACTCCATCAGGAGTCCCTCACTCCTTTTACCGAAAGGTACTTGAGGGAAAAGGAGTAATTTGTGCTTGCCCTTTGATGTTGTCCTGTCGTAATCTCTGAAGTTGGTGAGGAGTCGTTGCTTTCATGTCCCTGCCGAAGGCAGTCCCTCAGTTACCCACATATCGGGACTTGAGGGATTGTTTTGCCGTTTGTTGGATTTTTTGACATTTTTGTTTGTCATTTTTGTAATTTTGTGATTTCCTGAAGGGGTTCCCTAGTCCCCCACTCCTTGAGGCACTTGTAAAGTGGTGAAAAGGAGTAAAGTAGTTGCGTTGCTGTTGTGGGCCGAAGGCTGACGCTTTTCGTTTCATTTTGGGGGGATGCCTCGTTAAAAACCTCATTAGGAAAAACCCTGTGGGAAAAAATCCTAATCAGGGAAAAAGAGTGCACCGAATTCCCCCAACGATGAATCGAAAATGTGAAACCTTGGTTTAAAAATGGAGAAAAATGGTAGTGCCGAAGGCTCCCCTTGTTCTGAGGGCTCCGTATTGTTTTGCCGAAGGGGTGTGATATTCTGGGAGGCGTTGAAGTAGAGTCCCTCAATCCATGGGACTGAGGGCGTGATAAACGTAGATAGTAGCCGTGAAGATCCCGAAGGCTTCACGTCCTTCATTACTTAGTTGATGAGTGGAGCACCCGAAGGGTCCTGTTTCCCGCGTGCCGGGGGCGCGCTTGTTGATGAAGTGATATTCCCCGGGGGCTGCCCGGAAATTAATGTGTTGCAGGGGGGAGGATACCCGAGAGGTCCACTAGTTGTGAGCCCGGGGGGTCCCCTTTGTGAGGTGGAGCGAAGGAGGGAAGCCCGGGGACCACCCCTTTATTTGGTGAAGGAGTGTTTACCCGAGGGCGTACCCCCAGGTTCCCAGAATATAGTCGTTGTAATGTGACCGTTGGAGGGGGAGCACACGTGGCACGTGATGGTTGGCTGCCCGTGGGCGGCGTCACCGGTTGGGCGAAGACGCGGCGTGTAATGATGACTTTTTGCCGGGGGCCTGATTTTTTGGGCCCAAGCCCGGATCTGGGCGCCTATAAATACCCCCAGCCAAGGCCATTCGTCTTTGTGCGATCATACCGTTAGCGAAGCTCTGCAAAAATTCCTAGAGAGAGAAAATTCGCCCTTCGGTCAAACCAAGTCTCAGAGGTTAGTTCTCCTTCCGTCCTTAGCTCCATTTGAGTACTTAGCTTTTGGCCTTAGAATTAGGCTTTAGGACCCTTCAGGAACCCCCCTTTGTACGAGTTTCCCGACCCCTCGCCTTTTAGAAGTAATGTCGTCAGCTAGTGATTCCCAAGATATCTCCGGGGAGGCTTCAGTGAACGTTGAAGTGGCGTCTGACGTGGAATCCTCGAGTGAGCAGCTCTCGGTCATTGACAATAGGGCCGTAGCCGAGGCGATACAGGGTGACCTTCGGCTTGAGCTCGAGGCCGAAGACTTCGAGCAGGTGAACGCGGATGAAGAGCTTGCCATTGCCTGTCAGGTGGCCGAGGACGAGGCCCAGAAGGAGGGCCTGAAGGTGACTGTAGCTATCCCTCCCCCTCGGTGTGATACTGAAGCTGGGAGCTCCCGGCCTCTAGACGTTGTACCCCTCAGTGTGGCCCCAGGGAAGAGAAAGAAGGCGAGGACGGCTCCGAAGAAGAAGCAGGCTGCCGTCGACGCTGGCCAGCCAATGGGACTGCCCGAGGGCTATTCTTTCCTGAATACGACCGCCTTGGAGGTAAAAAATAAAGCTACCCGAGGGGAGATGATGGCGTTACAATTTTTGGTTGGGCCTTCGGCGCAAGTGGTAGAGCCAAAGCCGAATGATGTGCTCCTTCGTGCCCCCGAGGGCTGTTTTGCCGTACATCTGCTTTCGGTGGAGCTGGGTCTCAGATTTCCCCTTCATCCCTTCGTGTTGGAATATCTACGCTTCGTCAAGCTAGCCCCCTGCCAGTTGACCCCGAACAGTCACTCATATCTGGCAGGGTTCCTATCGCTGTGCCTCAGCCGAAGGGTCCCCCCTACTCTGGAGCAATTCTTTCTGTCGTTCAACTTGTGTCGGGGGGGTCATTCGAATGCCGGGGGCTATGGTAATTTGCAGCAGCTCCCGATGTTCAAGATTTTTGATGAGGTGCCTTCGTCTCACAAGGGGTGGAAAGACAAGTTCTGCTATATTCGTCTGGCCGAGAACCCTTTCTCTGCTCCGCTTGGTGATAGGTTTCGGCGGCACCTGAAGGCAGAGGGGTATGCCCTCGAGAAAAATGGGCGGGTGTTGTCCAAGAAGCCGGAGGGGTCCGATAAGCACGTGTCCATCAAAGGTGCAACGCTCTCCAGTGAGTTGTACAAGCTCGGCTTCCGTCAGTACCGGCTGATGGGGGAGAAGAAGGAAGGCTACCCCACGATTGACCGCGTATATGAGAGTGCCGAAGGTTGTTGCAATGCCGAGGGCTTTAATTCTCATACTTAGATTTTTTTTGCTTTGTTGTGGTAGTGAACTAACCCTTGTGTGCCTTCTTGTGTTTCAGGACCAGATATGGACGCCCGGAACCTTGTCAAGCTGAAGAGACAACTTGCCAGGGAAGAGCAGAAGAAGGAGGCCCCGCACAGCAGAGGGCGGTCGATGAGATATTCCCTAAGGCGGGAGCGGCCGAAGAGGTCAAGGAGGTAGGGCCCGTCGCGGAGGCCGCCGTCGGGGGCTCCCCCGGTCTGGAGCTGAAGAGGAAAAGGCTTGGGAAGGACCCGGCACAACCGGAGGGGAAGAAGAAGAAGAAGGGGGCCCCGGAGTTGAAGGAAGCTCCCGTTGTGGTCGTAGATGAATCTTCTCCCCCCAAGCCTTCGGGTCAAGCCACTGATCTGACATGGCCCCAGGACAAGGTCCAATACTCCATCACGAAGGGGACTGCTATCATGCACGGGACCCTGAACCCGAAGGAGTTTTTGAGGGGTGCCACCCCTCCGACCGATAAGTCTGTGCTCTCCCGCCAGGCCGACGACATCCTCTGCTCTAAGGTTCTGATGGCCTCGGTTACGGTAAGGTTCCTTCCTTCTCTTTTGTAGGTAACTTCATTCTTTACGTGTATAGTGGCTTAACCTCCGGTAATTCATGTCTGCTTTCAGGCAAGCCTTGGCCTTGGCGAGCTGGTCCAGAGGATAGAGCTGTATGACTCGGAGAAGAAGAAAGCCGATGAAGCATTGGCTGAGGCCCGAAGGCAGCTCAAAGAGGCCGAGGACGCTCGCAAAGCTGAGCAAGAGGCTTTCAATGAAATCCTCGAGAGCTCCAAGACGGTGGCCAGGGCCGAAGGCAAGGCAGAGGCGGAGAAGGCTACGGCCGATGCTGCCAAGAAAGCCGCGAAGGATGCCGAGGAGGCCCAGATTAAAGCCGTCGCCGAAGCCCGGGATGATGCTGTTGCCGCTTTCGCTGAGGAGGGATGGAATGCTCGGGCCTTGTGTATTTGACTTGCTTCCTTCAATTTATTTCCTCTCGAATGTGTGCCGTCGTTTTTTTTTCTTGAGTGTATGCCTTCGCCTTCTTGAATGTATGTTTAGGACTTAGAATATTTTCTAAGTGTTTGAATACAGTTGTAGCCTTCGGTAGTTGGGCACCCTTCGCTGGATATACCACCGAGGGCTCAGCAATAATTAGGACTTAGAAAATTTTTCTAAGTGTAGCACACCATAGGGCCTTCGGATGTTTGTAGTTCAATTGCTGTGTGGTGATTAGGTTGAGAACCCAATTCCTAGGACTTAGAAAAATTTCTAAGTGTAGTTTGCCCTTGGAAGCCCTCGGCTGGTAGCCTCCTTCTTGATGTGTGAATATTGGACCGAGGGCCCAATGTACAGGATTTAGGAAATTTTTGCAAGTGTAGTGTGTCATGTAGCCTTCGGCTACTGTGGAGCCCCAACTGAAATGTTGATTAGGCCGGGGGGCCAATCTTCAGGACTTAGAAAACTTTCCTCAGCGTTGATCCCTTGTGTACTATAGCCTTCGATTGATAGGTAGCCTTCGGCTATAAGGTCCCTTCATAAGTTGAGATGAGCAGTTGACCGAGGGAAAAATATGTAGGACTTAGAAAATTTTCTAAGTGCTGTTGTATCGCATAGCCTTCGGATATCATATTCCCTTAGCTGTAATATTGGTTGGGCCGGGGGCCCAATCTTTAGGACTTAGAATCTTTTCTAAGTGTTGCTTCCTTGTGCTGCCTTCGGGTGATAGGTGCCCTCTGACTCTGTGTCACCTTTGCGAGATGCCTAGGGGCTACTCATTTAGGACTTAGAATATTTTCTAAGCGTAAATTGATGTTGAGCTTCAGGATGTAGATCCCTCCGGGTATATGAATAGGACCCTTCGGGTGATCGTGAGGCCCTTGTGTTGTATGAGTATTTGACCGAGGGCCAAATATGTGGGGCTTAGAAAAATTTCAAAGTGTGTCGTAGATGTTGAACCTTCGGTCAGTGAGGAGTCTGTCCGAGGGGCAAATATTTTTGGATACGCCCCCTCGGTTGGCTTTTGATGATTTGTAATAGATGCTTTCGGTTGTCGGGTGATATATTAGCCTCCGATTGTTATCATTTTCCAGAAGTGTGTACTTAGGAAAAGTGTGGAATCCTGTTGTTTGTAAAGAAAGCCGATGAGGAGTATGTGCCCTCGACATTCACCGTTTAGTGGACTTTGGATAGTCCAGTCCCTTTGTATTGCTGAAGCCTTCGGTGCTTGTATGACCGGAGGTGACCAAACAGTGGACTTATCCATTTCTTGATGATATTTGTTTGAGTAGTATCCTTTGGGAAATAGGAGCCTTCAATTGCCGGAGGTGTTCCCGTGGGGAGCCCTCGGCATGTTGTGATCTGTTGGAGTGTACTCTTTGATTTCTCGCTGAGTCTACTCCCCTTCACCCCCCCGCCCCCCGCCCCCTTTTTGGTGGTGAAGGGAAGGCATCAAGAAACTTGGTTTCTTGGTAAGGCTGGGCCTATCAGGAGACCATCAGAATACACCAATGGCTCTCCTCCCTCGGGTTAACCTTCCGAGTTCCGAGGGGATCGAGGGTCGTTTCCTGGGTACAAGATATGATGGTCTGTAACCTGCCTCCCCTTGGGGGATGGCGCGGAAAGCGCCTCATTTTTTAAAGTCGTCCCCTCAGCGCTAGACATAGTCCGTGGCCTGCCACACCCTTGGGGTGGTGGCGCGGGGAGCGTTTCGGTTTGGAAGTCGAATCCTAGGCATTTCTCGTGCCTGTCATACCCTTGGGGTGATGACGCGGATAGCGTTCCGTTTTTGAAAGTCGAATCCTGGGCATTTCTCATGCCTGTCATACCCTGGGGGTAGTGACGCGGAAAGCATTTCAAGGAAGGGTTTTCATGTGCACACTAGTTGCAAATGGCCGGGGGCACTACGTGCCGCCGGCACCGATGGTGGTGCCTTCGGTATATGCGTCCTCGTGGGGTACGGCTTTTAGAAACAACACTTGGTGTTAGTTTCGATATGTAGCCCCCGGTACTTGGTACCGAGGGGTCTTCTGTAGGAACACTTAGTGTTCTTCCTCTATTTGACGTTGATGGGTGAGATGTGTACCCCCGGTACTTGGTACCGAGGGGTCTTCTGTAGGAACACTAGGTGTTCTTCTTTTTGATGTTGAAAGTGGAGATGTGTACCCCCGGCACTGGGTGCCGAAGGGTCTTGAAATGAAACACTTGGTGTTTCCTGTTGCCGGTGATGGGAGTTCCCACCTTCGGCACTTGGTACCGAGGGGTCTTGTTTGAAATACTTGGTGTTTTCACTGTTGTTGAAGGTGTTGATGGTGTCCGCCCTCGGCAATTGGTGCTGGAGGGGGTTCTTCTCGTGGTGAGGCCTGGGGCCTGTAGTTGGTATGAGGGCTTGGCCGCTCATAAGTGTTTTGTTCTTGGTGTCTTGAACGTGTCTTCATTCTTCAAAATTGGAGGCCTTGGGCCATAGGATAGTACATTTACTAGTTACGAGGGCTTGGCCGCTCTTACATTATTGATAAAATTTAACTAAGTGGTGTACATTCCAATGCCTAGGGACCTCTTTCCCGTTGGGGCGTTTGAGTTTGTAAGTTCCAGGTTTGATGACGGTTGCTATGATGTAGGGACCTTCAAATTTCGGTGCCATTTTGCCTCCCTCGGTCGGTTGGCTCGCTTCCCTCCTCCGGAGGACATAGTCCCCCACTTGAAATTCTCGGGTGCAAACCTTGGCGTCGATGTAGCCTTTGACTTGCCTTCGGTAGTTTTCTGCCCGGATGAAGGCTTGCTCCCGGCGTTCTGAAAGGAGGTGGAGGTCGAGGGCCATGTTGCTGTCGTTGACCTCAGGGTCATATTGGATCACCCTCCGGGTGGGAAGGGTGACTTCCGTAGGAGCTTTGGCTTCAAAACCGTAGCAGAGGGAGAAAGGTGTTTCACCTGTTGCTCGCCGAGGGGTGGTGCGGTAGGCCCAAAGGATGTTGTGGAGTTCTTCTACCCAGCCACCGCCCTCGGCCTCCAGCTTCTTTTTGAGGCCCTCGAGCAAGGTCCGGTTGGCATTCTCTACTTGCCCGTTGCCTTGAGGGTATGCAACGGAGGAGAAGGTGTGTTTGATGCCCCATGCCTCTAGAAGGGCACAGAAGGGGGCTGCCTCAAATTGTGTTCCATTGTCGGAGATGATCTGCTGGGGGACGCCAAACCTTGTGAGGATGTTCTTGATGACGAAGTGACGACACTTCGCCTCTGTGATGCTGGCGAGGGGCTCAGCTTCCACCCACTTGGTAAAGTAGTCTATGGCCACAATGATGTATCTGTTGTTGGAGGTACCCCTCGGAAGAGGGCCCACAAGGTCTATCCCCCATCGAGAAAAGGGGACCGATGTGCTGATGGGGGCATAGTTGACCGTTGGCCTGTCGGGGGCTTTCTGGAAATGTTGACATGCGGTGCACCTTCGGGCAAGGTCAGCACAATCCCTGGCCATGGTTGGCCAGAAGTAGCCCTGGAGAATGAGCCTTTGGGACATGGAGAAGGGTCCCTGGTGAGCTGAGCAAGTGCCACTGTGCACCTCCTCCATTGCGACCTCGGCTTCATCCTGATGAAGGCACCGAAGTAGCGTGCCGTTGTAAGACCGTTTGTAGAGCCTTCCGTCTTCAATGGTGTAGCTAGGAGCCCTCAGTTTTGCTAGTTTAGCACGAGTCTCGTCCTCGGGTAGCTGCCCTGTGGAGATGAAGGTGATGATATCCGAGATCCAGTCCTCTTGGCGTTGTTGTATGTTCATAACTGGGCTTGCATGGATACTTGAGAGACTGAGTTCCTCAATTTTAGCAATCTTGGAGATGTGCTCGGGGGAATCGGCCGAGAGCTTAGATAGTATGTCGGCCTCGGAGTTCTGAGCCCTCGGTATTTGAGTGAGAGAGTGTGCCTCAAATACCTTAAGCAACTCCTTGGCCGCCTCCTTGTACTGTTTCATTCTTCCCTCCTTGGCCTCATATTCCTCGGAGATTTGGCCAACGACCAACTTGGAGTCGCATTTGATGTGGATCTGCCGAGCCTTCATGTTGGCAGCCAGCCGAAGGCCACATAGGAGGGCCTCATACTCGGCTCGTTGTTGGAGACTTTGAAGGAGAACCGGATTGCATAGTAGGCTCTGAAGCCCTCGGGAGTAATGAGGACTACCCCTCCCCCGCATGCTTTGGTCGCGGAGGAGCCATCGGTGTAGAGGGTCCACCAGTCGTTCGAGGCAGCCGAGGGCTCCCCGTCCGTGGCTGCCCTTGCGGTACACTCCATCACAAAGTCCGCCAGGGCTTGGCCCTTGATTGCAGGCCTCAGACGGATGTCAATGTTGTACTGGCTCAAGAAGATAGCCCATTTCACCATGCGGGAGGAGCTGGTGGGGCTCCTCATGAGGGCACCGAGGGGTTGATGAGTGAGGACCTGAACCGGGTGAGCCTGAAAGTAGTGGCCCAACTTCTTGACGGTCCAAACGATGGCTAAAACCGTTTTCTCCACAGGAGAGTACCTGAGCTCGGCCTCCCTTAGGGTTTTGCTTACATAGAAGATGGCATGTTGGATGCCGTCTTCCTCCCGGATGAGCACGGAGCTGATGGCCGCCGGGCTGACCCCAAGGTAGAGATAGAGGGTCTCCCCTACCTTTGGCTTTGAGAGCACAGGGGGTGAAGATAGATACCGTTTGAGCTCGTCGAAAGCCCCCTGGCATTCTGGAGTCCATAGGAAGCCAGCCGTCTTCCTCATGATCTGGAAGAAGGGTAGAGACTTCTCCGCTGATTTAGATAGAAAGCGGTTGAGGGCTGCCAGGCGGCCCGTCAACCGTTGAACTTCCTTCACATTGCGTGGGGGCTCCATGTTGATGATGGCCTGGATCTTCTCGGGGTTGGCCTCAATACCCCTTCGGCTCACCATGTAGCCCAAGAATTTTCCCCCTTGGACGCCGAAGGTGCACTTCTT